TAGGAGTAAATTTTTCGAAAGATTAATATATTGCTTACATTTGTGGTCCACATCATTCTGATTTTGTGATTTTTTTAGATTCACTCTAAGATTCTACACTAGCACAGGCGCACACTAGCATTCATTTGTGTGGTACATGCTTTGTTGATTATTGAATTGGTTATATCCCAATTGGGCTAGTAGTGCATTGAAAACTTTTATCTTGATAAAAGTGGATAACAAACCCTTTTTATTGAGTAGCCGGGATTCTAGCCTCATCAAGCACTGGATTTCTTGTGCCTAAAGGTGGAGGGCCTAAACTCTAGGTTAATAATTCAACTTTAAAAAAAAAAAAAAAAAAAAAAAAAAAAAAAAAAAAAAAAAAAGAAGAAGAAGAAGAAGAAGAAGAAAAGAAAAGAAAAGTTGCAAAAGCAATAAAAAGTGAGGATTTCTCTCAAAAGGTGAGAAGTGGGAAATGATTAGGTGGAGGTTGTTTTTATTTGTAGCCTAGTTGATTTAAGCTTGTAAGTGCTTAGGGGTGTTTGAACACCTAGTGCCCTAAAACCGTCTGGTTTGGGAGTCCTTGACCTAACGCTCGACCTCATGGATCGCTAGAAAACTTAATAGATCAACACATTGCACTATGCTTCCATCTTTGATCCTTAGGATAAATAAAAAATAAAAAAATAAAAAAAATTGAGTGAAAAGAATAAGCGTACCTAGTTTAGTAAAGATTTAATAAAAGGTCCACTCTTTGTCTTGATCGATGATCGGTACTAGATTTGTATGCTACTTTGAGGGTGAAAATGTGATCATTTCTTTAGTTGGCTTAGATATCAACATATTTGATGCCGATCCACTCAAAAAGGATTCTAGTGTTGTTTTGATTTGCATGATCATTTTCTTGATGTATGGAGGACCATACATGCTTGCTTGATGTTGAGATTTTAGGGGATTGCTTGGAAATGGTTGAAAAATTGCATACTTGAGGTAGTTTTCTCCCAATGCTCGTTTGCAATATTGGTGCCTCTTTAGTGAGAATGAGCTTAATGTTTGTGGGTATCATTTCTGGAAACCCTCACGAGACTTCACTCATCCACTAGGGATAACCTGGGGGTTTAAAAGGCTTATTGCATATGCTAAATATAATCGTGTTCCCTACGAAAGTGGCATTATCCATTTATTGTTTTCTAGTTCATATTTGTATAGTTGTTCATTTCATTCATTTACTTTGTAGTTCATTGCTAGGGACTAGCAATATTTAAGTTTGGGGGTGTGATGAGTGCTAAAAAGTGCTCATTTAAAACCCTTAAGCTTAGGTATTTTAAGACCTTTATCTATCTTACTTTTCCGTTTTAGACTAATTTCGTGTTATTGCCCTTTCTAGGTGCTTATCCCCAAAATAAGCTAATTCAGCCAAATAAGAGCTTAAAAGAAGCTAACTTAAGCTGGATGGAAGAAATGAGCAAAGTGGAAGCAGATTGAAGCAAAGTGTAGAAATCAGAATGTTTGATCGATCTCAAGAATACTTCGATCTATCGAAAGTTCATCGATCTAGACTCTCCAAGATGGATCCAAGCCCTGTTATCCTTATCCAAAGATCCTACAAAGTTTGATCGATCCAACAATGCTCAGATCGACTGAAAAGATTCCATCTTATCCTGTTGTACCATCCTACCTACCACTTTTGTCTCTTTCCCCAAAATATCTCAGACTGTCCTAATCCAAAAAGGTGCCGCCATGGAAGGATCGATCCAGCCAAAGTTTGATAGATGTCAGCCATGTTCGATCGATCACAGAATAGGTTCGATCGATCGATCCCTCTCAAATGCTAAAAAATATATTTCCAGCTTATTAGAGTTGTCTCATTGTGCAATCATTGGAGGAGCCCTTGTGTACGAGCCTAGACCATTGGGTGTGACATTTGAGCTACATATATAAGGAATATGAGCTACTTTTATAAGGAGTTCTTGGATAGTTTTGATATATGCTTTTTAGAGTAGATAGATATAATTTTTAGAGAGGAAGAAAAGAGAAGAGGAGGCTAGAGACACATTCTAGAGAGGTTTTCCATCTTCCTCAAGAAGAAGAGCACTTCTACCATGGAGATAGCCCTTGAGGGTTGGAGGACACCATTCATGAGTGGCTAGACATCCTCTTGGGGCTAGAGTCAGCCCTAAGTATGCTTTCTTTACCTTGATTTATGTATTTTTGAGAGAATTTGTGTTGTAATGCATGTTTTGACATATTTATTTACATAGATCTTGTTTATTTAATAATTTATGCGATTTAATTCTTCCAATTGATCATTTCATTCTATCCATATGTCTATGTATGCTAGAATAGATGTTCATGTGTTTATCTCTATCTCTTGTGTTGTTGATGCATGTCTATGTGTGTTGATGCTATAAGATTTAGAGATTGTCAAGACATAGTGCTTAATAGAATGCTCTTGTGGTTTATTTGATGGTTCATACTCATTTCTTAATGGATTGTGCCTCTCCCTTAGTTTAATTAGTTTAATTTTCATGTCATTAGCTTAGATGTAGTGTAGTTACCTTAGTTGTTAAATGGGAAGACAATCTATGCTTGTTATTTGATGTTCCATACTTATGAATGCAAGTAGTATATTTCTCTAATTATGGATTGTGAGTTTAAAGAAGGACTAATGACTTAGTTTGATGTATTGTGCTATTCATTGTGTTGTTTAGACAATATATACTTAATTGGTCATCTATGCTTGTTAAAACATCCACACACACTCACTATTGTTGCAACATATGTTTTCCCCCTCATTAATTGTGAATTGAGTGTATAGAAAGGTGATGCTTAGTGGTGATCTCTAAGTCCCAAGACCTCTCTCTTTTGTTTTCTCTATCCTTTAATTACTTGTTTTACATTGAGTTTACTTAATCTTAATTGTAGTTTAATCAACCAAACAATCTACCTTTGATCACTCGACCTACTAACCCTAAGCATTGTTTCCATTACTAGTAGCCCTCTAATCCCTTGGGACGATCCCTACTCACTCTTACTACGTTAGTAGTAGTGGTAGTAGTGGTTTTTATAAATTTAAACTTGACCCAAAAAGGCTTTTCTTGAACTTACATTCACTACATTAGTTTGGCGTATAGGAACGGCCACCGTCAATTGGATTAAAGATGTTCAACTTCACTTTCATGTGGCCAAATGAGATTTTCATTATCCCCGTCCTGCAATTGATGTTGGCATTTGCGGTTGCCAATAAGGGACGACTAAGGATAACAGAAATTTGGCTTTTGGGGTTCGGAACCGGTTCCGTGTCTATAACAATGAAATCAACGAGGAAGAAGAACTTATCAATCTTAATCAAAACATCCTCTATGATACCTCGGGGATTTTTAATGGATCGGTCAGCAAGTTGCAAAACTACTGACATCGGTTTCAAGTCTCCTAAGCCTAATTTGACATACACTAATTAGGGAAGAAGGTTAACACTTGCTCTTAAGTCTAGAAGAGCCCCATTAATGACATAGTCACCAATGATGCAAGAAGTAGTAGGTGAACCGGGGTCCTTAAACTTTGGGAGAGTGTTATGTTATAAAATGGAGTTCACTTGCTCGGTCAAGACCACTTTCTTTGGTGCTTGACTTTTGTTCTTCCTCTTTTGGGTACAAAGATCTTTCAAAAATTTGGCATAAGCTGGAATTTGCTTAATTGCATCCAAAAGCGGAAGATTGATCTTCACTTGCCTAAACACATCAATGATTTCATTAGTCTTGGTCTTTTGTTTGTCAAGAGAAATGGATCCTTTCAAGGCATCCGGAAATAAAGGTTTAGGCTCAAAATCTTTTTCAAAATCTTTCTTTGAAGAATCTTCAACATAAGAATTTTTCAAACTGTGATAAGAATTTTTTAAATCATCTTTCAAAACTTTATTCAAATCATTTTCCATTACTTTTTCAACAAAGGGGTCATGCACATGCAATGAAGGAGGAATATGATGCGAAACGGGATGGGTGTCAACTTTTGGTTGCACCGGTTCACTCTCTTCATTGGACATACTCACTTGGTTGTCCACAATTCTCCCACTTCTCAAGGTTGTCACCGCATTGACATATTCGATTGTGTGGCCTTCCGATGAGGAATGAGTCTACATAACACATTGTTGCTTTGGTGGTGCATTCAAAGGCATCTTCCCTTTCTCTTTAGTATTCAAAGTACTAGCTATTTGCTCAACTTGGGTTTCTAACTTAGCAATGGATTGAGAATGGGAATGAAGCAATTAAGTGTTCACCTCTAGAATGCCTAAAGCGGTCAACACTTTCTCCTCAAAAATGGGACTCCTAGAATTTTCTTAAGAATATGATGATTGGTTAGGAAAATGAGAATTAGAGAATTGATTACCATGCGATTAAAATAATGATAATCTAAAACCTTGGAAACCTTGGCCTCGCATTGGAGGTGGAACATACTTATTTTGAAAACCACCTTGGGGAGGGTTTGAGCCTTTCCCTTGGCTTTTCCAAGAGAAATTTGGATGGTTCCTCCAACTTGAATTGTAAAGAGTACCATAAGGATTATTCCCTTGGTTGACAAATGTAGCATTGACTTACTCATGGTTTTCACTTAGCACATGTCCATGGGGACAATTGAAAGTAGAATGTAAAACACTTGAACAAGTCATGCAAGATTCATTAGATGCACGATGATGAACATGATTAAGGGAGGAAGATACTTGATTCGCCGAAGTTTGGTTAATCAAAAATTGATTAAACCTTTGAGATAAAGATTTCATCTCAGCTGCTATGTTATTGGAATTGTCAACTTGATATAAGCCAACATTCTTCCTTCCACCTAGATTTCTACCATTTTTAGAAGATAAAGATCTATGCATTGAATTTTCACTCATACTTTCATACAATTGCCACACATCATCCTCATGCTTGTCAAGATAAGAACCACCCATAGATGTATCAACCATACCCTTGTGACTATCCGGTAAACTTTCAAAGAAATATTGAACTAATTGCCACTTAGGTATGTCATGATGAGGGCACTTTCTAAGCAAATTGTAAAACCTTTCCCATGCATCATGAAACATTTCCCCATCCCCTTGAGAAAATTCACGAATGTAAGTTCTCATGACATTAGTCTTAGAAACCGGGTGGTACTTCTTCAAGAACTCTTGTTGCATTTCTGCGTAGAAGTTATCAAAAAAGGCCTAAGATTGTTAAACCAATATTTTGCCTTGTCTTTAAGGATGAAAGGAAAAATTTTAAGTCTTAAAACCTCTTTCGGCATGTCCATGTATTTCATGGTGGAACACACTCCAAGAAACTCATCCAAATGCTTATAAGGTTCTTCACTTGGAAGTCCATGATAGTTGGGAAGCATTTGAATGGTTTGCGGTTTAATCTCATAGTGATGTGCTCTAAATAGGGGCAATTGAATGCAATTGGGTGCATTATATTCATTAGGCACATAATGGTCTCTTAAAGTAATGGGAGGATTCACAACCGGCGGTGCCACTCGGACACCTTGATTGCCTTGCATAATGAGAGGTTGTGGAGCAAACATTGGCCAAGGCATTCCCAATGGAATTTGGCCTTGTTGTTGTGGTGGAATGAATGGTCTAGGTATGCCTAATGGTACTTGAATGTTTTTATGATGCACATTAGGGTGGGGGATGCCTTGTTGGTTTATGTGACCAATGTCCTCCACATGGTCGTCATTCAATTCCTCCATTGGTCAAATGGAGTGATGAGAACTACCTCTTCCCCTAGGATTACGAACAACCGATTCAAGATGCAAATTAGGAGGGACAAGAGTAGGATTTAATGACCTATGACCATGCATACACTAGCTAAACAAATAACAAGCAAATAACAATCACTTCACCCCCACAACAAATTAATCAACAAATATTCTCCACATACATTGATCCTATACTTCCATGTTTGAACAACATGCAAAGAAATGTAAATTGCCTCCACGCGGGCTCACGATTTATCTATGAAATGAAAAACTTACCACCATGCGGGCCGACGATTTAACTAGAGATTGAGTTAGAAAGATCTCACAAAGGGTCCTTAAGCAACTTTAATTAAACTTTCAAGTTTCAAGCCTTGCTATGCTTTGCAAATTTTTTTTTTTTTTGCTTTTGCTTAGCTTCATTTAGCTTCCTTACTTTCAATTCTCCTTTGCTCAACTTCCTTGCTCAATACACCTAATCAAACATGAACAAACACAATAAGTAACAAGAAAGAAAATAAAGTAAAGACACGATCAAAAGAGTACTAATTCCTATTTGTTTCCAAAACACGGCGTTGCCAATTTAATCCCCGGTAACGGCGCCAAAAACTTGGTGTTGTCAATTTAATCCACGGCAATGGCGCCAAAAACTTGGTGTTGTCATCACACCAACGTTTAAAGATGTACAAAATAGTGTGGCCAAGTTTTAAATTTATAAAAGCCACTACTACCTCTAACTAAAAATATAGCTAGGGTGAGTAGGGATCGTCCCAAGGGATTTTTAAGCGTATTTACAATGGAAACAATGTATATGGTTAGTAGGTCGAGTGATTAAAAGTGGATTGTTTTGTTGATTAGACTATTAACTAAACTAAACAAGTTCAATGTAAAATAATCAATTTAAATGAAATTTAGAAAACAAGAGAGTGAGGTCTCGGGGTCTAGATGTCACCACTAAACATCACCATTCTAGACATTCAATGTATAATTAATGAGGGGAAACATGTATTGCAATTTGAGAGTGTGTGTTTGATTGTTTTAATAAGCATGGATGACCAATTAAGGCTATATTGTCTAAGCAACCTAGTGAATAGCACAATACATCAAACTAGGCCATTAATCCTTCCTTTAAGCTCACAATCCAAACACATCACATAGTTAGAGAATAATACTACTTGCATTTATAAGCATGGAACATCAAACAACAAGCATGGATTGTCCTCCCATCTAACAACTAAGGCAACTCCACTACAACTAAGCTAAGGGCATGAAAATTAAACTAAAAAAACTAAGGGAGAGGCAGTACAATCCATCAAGACATGAGTATAAACCATCAAATAAACCACAATAGTATTCTATTAAGCACTATGCCTTGACAATCTCTAGATCCATAGTATCAATACACATAGACATGTATCAATAACATAAAACTAGAGATAAACACATGAACATCTATTCTAGTATACATAGACATATGGATAGAATGAAAGAATTAATTAAAAGTATTAAACCACACAAATCGTTGAATAAACAAGATTCATATATAAAATAAGTGTCAAAGCAAGATTACAACATAAATCCCCTCAAAATACAAAGCATTAGAGTCTAAAAAGCATGTTTGGGGCTAACTCTAGCCCCAAAAGATGTTTAGCCACTCATTGAAGTAGTCATCCATCCCTCAAGGGCTATCTCTATAGTGGGAATGACCTCCTTCTTGATGGAAACCCTAGAAGAATGGAAGAACTCCCAAGAATGTGTCTCTAGCTTTTCCTCCTCTCTTTTCTTCCTCTCTAAGAATGTTTCTAAGTCTATGAGATGATATGTGTGATATGATGTAAAAGAGGCTCAAAATCCTTATATAGGTAGGTCAAGTGTCTCACCCAATGGTCTGGATTCGTGCACTAGGGTCCTTGCAATGATTGCACCATGAGCCAACGTTTAATGAGCTGTAACTTATTTTTTTCGGACTTGAGGAGGTTCGATTGATCGAACTATTCTGAGATCGATCGAACTGTGCTGAGATCAATCGAATGCTGCAGAGATTGATCCATCCTTGGCGGCGCCTTTTTGAATAAAGACAAATCTCTGAGATATTTTGGGATATTTTGGGAAAGAGACAAAAGTGGTAGGTGGGGTGGTAGGTGTGGATAAGATCGAATATTTTCGATCGATCGAAGAGATATTGGATCGATCGAACATGGTGGATTCTTTTGGATAAGAACAAAGGCTTGGATTCATCTTAATGTGTCCAAATCGATGTTGCTGCGATCGATCAAAGGATTTCTGAGATCAATCGAACATGCTGATTTCCACACTTTATTTCATTTTGCTTCCACTTTGCTCCTTTCTTCCATCCAGCTTGAGTTAGCTTCTTTAATGCTCTTATTTAGCTGACTTAACTTATTTTTGGGATAAGCGCCTGAAAAGGGCAATAAAATGAAATTAGTCTAAAATGGAAAAGTAATATAAATAAAGGTCCTAAGCTTAAGGGGTTTAATTGCACACTTTTCAGCGCTCATCAATAACTATAAAGGAATGGTTGATGCTTCTTTGGGTGGTTTTTATCTTGATAGGCATGAAGATGATGTGTGGCGCTTATATGAGAGCATGAGTGAGAATTCAATGCATCGATCTTTATCATCTAAAAATGTTAGAAATGTAGGTGGAGGGAAGAATGTCGGCTTATATCAAGTCGACCATTCCAATGACATTGTCGCCGAAGTGAAGTCCTTATCTCAAAGGTTTGATCAATTTTTGATCAACTAAAATTCGTTGAACCAAGTGTCTTCCTCCCCTAATCATACTCATCATCCTTCCAATGAATCATGCATGACTTATTCTAGTGTTTTACATTCTACTTCCAATTGTCCTCATGGACATGTGCAAAGTGAACACCATGAATAAGCGAATGCCGCTTTTGTTAACCAGGGGAATAATCCCTATGGCACTTATCATAATGCGGAGGAACCATCCAAACTTCTCTTGGAAAAGCCAAAGGGAAGGCTCAAACCCTCCCCAAAGTGGTTTCCAAAGCAAGTATGTTCTGCCCCCTTTGCAAAGCCAAGGTTCCCAAGGTTCCCAAGGTTATTGTTCATTTTACCAAACATCACATGGAATCCAATTTTCAAACTCTCATTTTCCAAACCAATCTTTATATTCTTAAGGAAATTGAAGGAGTCCCGCATTTAAAGAGAAATTTCTAACCGCTTTAGGTACTTTGGAAGCAAATACTCAATTGCTTCATTCCTATTCCCAATCGATTGCAAAGTTAGAAACCCAAGTCGGGCAAATAGCTAGTATATTGAATGCTAGGGAAAAAGGGAAAATGCCTTTGAATCCACCACCAAAGCAACAATTTGTTGTGGAAATCAATTCCTCTTCGGAAGGTTATACCTTTAAACATGTGAATGCGGTGACCACTTTGAGAAGTGAAAGAGTTTTGGACAATTAAGTTGGTGTTCCCAATTAAAAGAGTGAACCAGTGCAACCCAAAGTTGACACCCATCTCGTCTCACATCCCATTCATCTTTCATTGATTTTGAAAAAATCTAATGTTGAAAATGTTTCAAAGAATGATTTTGAAAAAGCTTTTTAGCCCAAGGCTCTATTTCTGGATGCTTTAAAAGCATTCACCTCTCTTGAAAAGTAATAAAATAAGGCAAATGAAAACATTGATGTGTTTAGGCAAGTGAAAATTAATCTTTCTCTCTTGGATGCAATTAGACAAATTCTAGCCTATGCCAAATTCTTGAAAGATCTTTGCACCCTTAAAAGGAAGAACAAAAGCCAAGCACTGAAAAAAGTTTTTTGACCGAACAAGTAAGCTCAGTCTTGCAACACAACACCCACCCAAAATTTAAAGACCCCGGTTCATCGATTACTTCTTGCACTATTGGTGATCATGTTATTAATCGGGCCCTTCTTGATTTAGGAGCGAGTGTGAATCTTCTCCCTTACTTGGTTTATATTCAATTGGGCTTAGGTGATTCAAAACCAACGTTGATAGTTTTGTAACTAGCCGACTAATCAATTAAGAAGCCCGGGGTATCATTGAGGATGTATTGATGAAAATTGACAAGTTTTTCTTCCTGATTGATTTCGTTGTCATTGACATAGAGCCGGTCCCAAATCCTAAGAGCCAAATTCTCATTATTGGCTGTCCTTTCTTGGCTATCGCTAATGCCAACATTAATTGTAGGGCAGGGATAATGAAGATTTCATTTGGTCATATGAAAGTGAAGTTGAACATTTTCAATCCAACCCCGAATACTATGGACAAACATGAAGATGTATATGTTGTTGAAAAATATCTTAAAAATGAATTTGAAAAAAATGAACCTTTGCTTGGTGTTGGAACATCAAATGATTTATCTTCTAAAAAGGTTTTAAAGGAAA